TATAAAAAGCATTTTTTGGATTCAGCTGTAACCAAAAGCTTATTTATTTGAAGTCAAGGTGGAAATTATAAACAGATTTTATGAATTTTGAGTAGTTCAAACAGTACAGAAATCAGATATTCTAATAGGCTAGAATAATTCATGTGGATTTCAAATATAGCCTTTTTAAAAAATGAATAGGCATCTTAGTTTAGATAGACTATGTTTATCAGAAGTCAAATAAGCTGAAGACAGAAACCCTTCCTGCCATTCAACAAGCTTGAATGAAGACACAGCCAGAGATCTTGGAACGTAGAGTTATTGATCTTCATTTATCTGCTGAAAGGGTCCAGGGAGAACGTGGCCCTGAATAGGTGGTCAGATTTTGGTTCTGGGCAGGCCAGTTGTTTAACCCGAAGTCCAGACTACATTTTTTGGTTAGCACTTAATCACATAGTGACTGTAAATTTAGGTTCATAAGTAAGGAAAATGAAAAAGCATTTTTATGTGGGAAATTTAGAAGAAAACAGATAATTACTGATTTTTAAGTTATCATTTATCTAAATGATAATCTAGTGTTCAGTGACAAAATAATACACAAATATTACATTTTCAATTTTTTTTGTGAATTTTAAAATCACATTGGTTGACAGTGAAAGTTCAGTTCAGTTCAGTTCAATCACTCAATCATTTCTGACTCTTTGCGACCCCATGAACCGCAGCACGCCAGGCCTCCCTGTCCATCACCAACTCCCAGAGTCCACCCAAACCCATGTCCATTGTGTTGGTGATGCCATCCAACCATCTCATCCTCTGTCGTCCCCTTCTCCTCCCGCCTTCAATCTTTCCCAGCATCAGGGTCTTTTCAAATGAGCCATCTCTCCACATCAGGTGGCCAAAGTATTGGAGTTTCAGTTTCAACATCAGTCCTTCCAGTGACAGTGAAAAATGGGCATCAAATTAAAAGTCCAGCAATCAAGTAATGATTTATTAGACTGTGGTATATCTACTTATGAAAATGCACCACAGAACCTAAAATAAATGTTGTGAATGAGTGAAGTTCACTCAGTCATGTCCAACTCTTTGCAACCCCATGGGCTATATACAGTCCATGGGATTCTCCAGGCCAGAGTACTAGAGTGGATAGCATTTCTCTGCTCCAGGGGATCTTCCCAACCCAGGGATCAAACCCAGGTCTCCTGCATTGCAGGCAGACTCTTACCAGCTGAACCACAAGAGAAGCCCAAGAATACTGAATGGGTAGCCTATCCTTTCTCCAGCAGATCTTCCCTACCCAGGAACTGAATTGGAGTCTCCTGCATTGCAGGCAGATTTTTTACCAACTGAGCTAAAAATAAACATTAGGAAGACCATTTAGCAAATGTGGGAAATGTTTTCAATATAAACTAAAGAGGATTAGCCAGGATACATTACTGTATATACATTATGTTTTCAGTTACATAAAAAAATACAAATTCTTATAGAAAAAAGATTAGAAAATGACAGTAATTGTTTTAGGGTAAGAGATAGGAGGTTATTTTCTAAATATATATTTTCTGAAAATGCATTAAAATGTTGCTTTTTTATTGTTGAAGTTTAATAATAACAGGCTTTTAGTAAAAACAAGAATTCAAAATTATATTCATTTTATACATCAATATGCCATTAAATTGTTTGTCCAAAAAGCAACTGTTAAAAATAATATCCTTATTCTTTCTAGACACAAGCTGTGTCTATTTTTTATCAAATAAATCAATATTAAAATTGCTTACCATTTTTCAGCTTTTGTTTGATAATGAAATCACACATCTCAGATATTATTAAAGCAAACAAAGTTCCAAACAGGAAATGACCACATGAAAAGTAGAAATGTTTATTAAATAAAATAGACCCTCAGACTTCCTCAATCTGTTGTTTTTATTAAAATCTGACATTTACTTTATTTATTGCTTTAGAGTAGGTCTTTTAAAGCTTTTGTTTTAAAATAGGCCTTAGAGAAAGGAGAATTATGTGTTTGACTTCATTATAAATCATTATTTGTTTGACTTGTAAACATAATGGGAAAAACAGTATTCTAACAGTATTAGGGAAAATGAAGGGCCATTAAAGGAAGGGAAAGGGAATACAATTGTGAGAGTGGAAGAACAAAAAACCAAGAAAAAGGAAGGAATTTTAAGTTTTCAAGTGACCTTGGAGATTTGGATTCCCTTGAATTCTATCAGATGGAAATTTCTCTTGGATTATTTTCTCTGATTTGCTGTAGACAGGATTCTGATGAGAAAGCCAACTCTTGTCTCCTTTATAGGCTGCCTTTCACCTGCTTCCTTCTGTATTTAGAAGAACTCCGACATCTTGCAGGCCCAGAGAACAGTCTGCCTCCCTTCCTTATTTTGTTGTTAATATGTTTTCATGCTTGAAAACAACTCCCAGTCTTCCTTCTTTTGGTTTCTGGTGAGTCAACTTGGCCCAGTGGAAGTAACAAGATCCAGCTCCATTAAAATTTAAAATCATGCTCTCATATGAAATGCCCTTTTAGCTTTGTTCGTGTGTTACAATATCACTTTTATCAAAATCAAGTTCTAATACTGCATATCTTCCCAACAGAGAGATAGAATGAATTGACAAAACCTTACCCGATTCTGTAACGGGAAAGGAGTCATCTTCCTTTGAAGTAACACATCCAAATATTCAGAAAACAAGGACCTCTCTCTATAGGAACTTACAACAAAGAGCACAACACATACTGCTCTACTAAAACGTACATCGCATGCTAAAAATAGGTCACAAATATAGTGAACAAACGCAGCTCTCTTTTTTCAACATGAGATCATACCTGGCCAACACTGGAAGTTTTGTAATCCTTGTCTGGGGGAAAACAACAGAAATATTGATCAACAGTGCAGTTTGTATAAAATATTATTGAATTGCACTATCATTAAAGTAGTAGGGAGTGCGATGTCTTCACTTGACCTGATATCCATTATAGCACTCTTACACCATTTTATATTTCAGTTGTGCTTTAGAGATTTTCTTAACTCATTGTGTAGATTAGTTTATTTCATGAACCTGCTAAAAGGCATTTTGACATCCTGAGGAAACGGTTCCTCCAAAAGAGCTTCCCTTTCATCTCAAGCAGCAACTTCCACCTTGGAAGAGATGGGTCAGTTGTCACATTTCTGTTGTTGCAGTAACTTTGGGGGGTGGTAGCTCGTGAAAAGCACCTTTTGTACTTTGGTTCACTGACAGGTCGCTCTGTGAATTCAACGTATAAATAAATAATGTAGGTCCTGTTTTGTGATTGAAATGAGGGGCAGGCTTAATTGACCCCTCTGATTTTCAAGCCCCTAGTGGTATGAATATGATTCACAGCACCTTTCAGCCTCATCGGCCTCTACCCTTTGAAGTCAACTCTAATGTGTGGACGTCCATGACCTGTTCTTTGCTGATAGTTCCTTGGCTCTAATGGACTTCGCTTATGCACAGAGGATGGCCCCTCTCTTGAACTCTGTCTCCTTTCATTTCTTTTCCTTTCCAGACATCTCTTAGTATTTCCTAGCACGTTCCCAAATCGTTGTTTTTGGATCCTTTAGCTCTCTAATATAAAAGATATTCTTAGTACCAAGGTCTGCTTCAAATGTGGTTTGTGTATATCCAACTTTTCTCCCCCCTGTCATAGTACTCAGTGTTTCTGAATGAATACTTGGAAACCAGCCTATCTTAATCATTGTCTTTCATATACTATTTTCCAAAAAGAGATTATCACATTTCTCTCTCTATATATAAATAAGATGTAATTTTATGAAATAACCAATTATACAAGGTTTTAAATATTTTAAAATGTAAAGCTGTTCTCATTTTCTCATTTCTGTCTTTCACATTAGATTTTCTATTGACTGTTTTAAACCACTTATGAGAATCTATATAATAGTGTCATAATAAAATATATAATAACCATCATTCTAAGTCAATAATGCTATTTTATTTATAGTAGACAATGCAATAATACCTCTGGCTCACTGGCAAATAGTTTTAAAAATAAATGAGTGTATATATATATAATTTTTCCCTCTGGTCCTTTTATGCTGCTCAAATATGCTTAGTCACAAAAATTTGTGGTGTGTATGCAGTATAACATGAGACTTTGAATATATTAATTACATATTTATATAAATATGTAAATACTCTTATACTTTATCTCTTTCATTGTCTAATGCAAATACATGGGTTATAGTGAATGTCATTTTTTGCTTTTAAGCAGAAGCTTCGGAGTTTTATTGGTACTCTTTGTTAGAGCAATTTTAACAGCTAACTACAAATATCTCTAGCCTCAATTTCCACATCTACCAAATGGTCAGAAAAATAAAATATAATCCTGATAAACATTTTCTATCAGTTCTTTAGTCAAGAAAGTTTTGTCCTCATTCTACCAGCCTTTCATCCAAGTTCAGCTCCCTTTTTTCTGTAGTCAGAAAGACTTGTCATTACTTAAGAAAGTCCTTAGTGAGAGGGAAGGAACCATGTTGATTTTTCTCTCACAGCTGCCCTCTTTAAACTAGTCATACTTCTATTTTTCCCCCCCTTCTGAGCTGCTTTCTGATTATACACTAATTTTCTTTGCTCTGTCCCTGATTCTGCATGATCTTTTCCTCCTTTCAAACTAACGTCTTACTAAGTATCTGATGTGGAAAAGGAAGATTTCTGTTGTGAAGAAGGATAAATCTGTTAAATCAAGCAAAGAAATATACTAGGCAATGAAGGTCAGCCTAACTCCAACATATTGCAAGGTTCTTTGTTCTTCCATGCCTTAATAAAAGTGAGTTCATATGAAGAGTCAGATTTTACTGTTCAGAAAGAATAGACTATATTAGCATCCTTTTCCTTTAGTGAAACTGAATCTTCCTGATGACAATATTAAAAAATTTACTGACATTCTTTGCAAGGCCATTCTCTTAATCATCTCAGACATTTGGTAGAACGCGCCGGTGTGAGCCAGCTCTCAGCCGCGTTTGTGTTTCGTGAAGGTTGTTTGATTACCACGGCCGTGTGCCTCCGCCGCCCCGCGCGGTCATCCCGCTGAAGCGGCCCCGAGCGGCAGTGACGACCACCCGCCGGGGAAAAGGAGTTTTCTCCATGAAAGGAGGATCGAGGTCTGCTGTCAGCGGGTCTTCTTCATCCGGCTCGAAATGTAAGTAATCTTCTTCGCTTCCCCGTAAAGAAGGGTGGGGGTGTGTACCACTGCATGAATGTCTGTATTCGGTAGATTAATCAAGAATTACGGCAGGGTTGCTATGTACGATGTATGAGCGAAATATCAAACGGATAAGAAACGGTCTCTGCTTTCCACTGCACTACTTTGGAGTAGCGCGGTGGAGGCTGACAGGGACTTGACTAACAAACCTGGGAGCGATCAGGCAGGTGTTTTATCAGAGCCAAGACCATGCTCTTGGCAAACCTAGCTTGTGGCACATCCAAGTTTTGAAATATAACATGCTGCTTTTGGTGAAGAAATTAATTTCACTTCCAAACAGAGTCATAGAGTATCTTTTCAGAGAAGCAGTATGCAAAATCAGTGCATGTTTTGAATATTTGAGCCCTGGGATAGCTAAGAGGGAAATAGTAGAAAGGCTAAAAGGGTAACTTTCCATACTATTCTAAATCAGGAGAATGGTGTCTGCAAACATACGTAATGTCATAAAAGCATAATATTGATATAGCCTCACATGAATTAATAAAAAGTAGAGCTGCAAACCTCCCAACTGAACACATTATTAAGTTTTTATATGGACAGATCCAGAAAAAATATAATTTTTGTTATGAGGATATTATTCTTAAGGTAAAGATAGCAGTTTTTCTTGCACTTCTTGAGGTTGCAGTCTACAGAGAAGAGACAGACAGTAGCAAGCGAGGTAAAATCTGAGGTTTTAACGTGGTAGATCGTCACTATGTCAAAGAAAAAAGCAGGACGAAGCAACAGAGAGAGAGCAGAGCTGTGTTTCATGGATGGTGTGTGGCCGCCTCTCTGACAAGGCGCTGTCCGAGCAGAGAGCCCATGGAAGCGGGGAAGGACTGTGCGCCTGAAGCTGTTGGTGGCGGAGCATCTGGGCAGAGAGAAGGGTCAGTGCGGAGAGCCTACCCTGGAACAAGGAAACCAGGGCCGCAGAGTGAAGAGGAAATGTGGTGAGAAATAAGGCAGAGCCAAGGCGAGTTCCGGTGCGGCCTGTTAGGTCCCTGAAGCAGGTTTCTAGTTACTTTGCTTCTGTCCTTCAAGACAAGCAAAGCAAATCCTTTATCTAAATTTTACTCATGGGTAAGCACAGAGAAGCTAAATCATCAAGCGAAGAGCTGACTCATTGGAAAAGCCCCTCATGTTGGGAAAGATTGGAGGCAGGAGAAGGGGTCGACAGAGGATAAGATGGTTGGATGGCATCACCGACTCAATGGACATGGGTTTGGGTAAACTCCGGGAGTTGGTGATGGACAGGGAGGCCTGGCGTGCTGCAGTCCGTGGGGTTGCAAAGAGTTGGACACGACTGAGCGAATGAACTGAACTGAACTGAACTGAAGCACAGAGAATGTTACATAGTTGGATGATAGAGCCAACACTAAACCCATGTTCCTTCATTCTCATCCCAACATATGCTCTCTACTCTAGAACATTGCCTTGTACCTTTGTGCCATCAGAAATACTAAGAAAGAACACTGTTGAGACACTTTGTTTTTATACAAAGAAGTGTGAAAAATAGTTACCCTCAGCTCTGATGCTTCTGTTAACTAAGTTTGGTACACTCAGTTTGAATTAGCTAATCTAAACTAAATAGCAAATTACATGGATTTACATTTCCCCATATACTGACTCATCCATTTATCTAATTCTTCTATGGATAAAAAAAATGTGAATTCTCTTTTTGAGTCTTAGTAATAAAAGAAAATGAGTTTCTGCAAAAATCTCTAAACAATCTTATATGCTGTCTATTTTCAAAAACAAAGAAAGTTCTTGAATTTGGTTCTTGCTGTGGAAAATTGAGCATTGAATTGTCTGCTATGTTTATAGAAGACTTTTTTTTTTTTACCATAGTTGTATTAAGTTAACTTTAAATAGAAATACCTTGAGCATCTATGGATGCTTTGCCCTGGAGTCACTTTTAGAACACTGTTTAGCAATGGGAGTATTATTGCTGTTTTGGCCATGGCAGTTCTATGTTGTGTAAGAATATTCGAAGCTTTGCAGAACATTCAAAATCCCTGACTTTCAAACCTTCAAGGCCAGCAGCACTCTTCAGTCTTTTTAACAACTGTATGTGTGCTTATGCATTTCTAAGGTTTTCTTAAGGAGATGTAACCACCCTGGTTTAGAACCAGTGGTTTCTGGCCATTCTTGGGCAAATGCAGCTTTGTACAACTCAAACACTCGATTGCCGTAAACCTTAGTTTTTCAGCAAACAGTGATAGTTTCCAAGGGTTATTTTGGTGTAAATATCTTGATCTTCAAATGGTTAAGTTGTTTCTGGCCTCTTATTTTTGACTTCTAACCCTCTTGGGTCATAGAGAGAGAATGTGAGTTATAAAATTTTTTTGAGTACCTTAGAACTTCTCGTGGTTTCATAATAATGAGATTTTGTGAGTGGGAAATAGAATCTATTTTCTGCCTTTGGTATAATGCTATGTGTCTTTTATCTTGTTGGTTGTATCATCCGATCCTCCGTAGACTTTGTTCTTTTGTGGCAAATTGATAAGTGAAATTCTGAAAGTGATTACTTAAAATTCTCTACCAATTAGTGACCTGATAAAGTTCTTCTTTCCTTGAGGTTTTATTTTATATTCCATGTTGCTTGGCTGGTATTTATATGATGTTTTACAGTAATAGTTAAATGATAGCTAACATTTTTTTGATGTTTGTTCTATGGTAGCTATTGTTTTAAACACATTATTAATACATACATTTTCATGTATAAATTAAATATATTAATTCATTTGTTTCTCATAACTGCCAATAACTGAAGTATTGTTATCATTCCCATTTTATAAGTGTGGAAAAATTAAGTGATATCCCTAAAGTCACAGAGCTATTTAATAACAGAGCCCGGAACCACAGCCTGATTCTAGGGCATGTGTTTCTAGAGTATAGGATCTTATGTCTGTGCCCTTTTTAGTACTGCTTCTCTAAAACTTCTTGGAGAATTGTAACTTTCACATCTGTGTAATGCTTCATTTTCTATCTGTACTCTAGAATTTTGCTTTCTTCGATCCGTTGCTTGGTTCTTTACTGATAAGACTCTCTTTCGGTTTACGCTTTCCTCGTCCACCATTTATTTCACCCCTTTCTTTGTCGCTAGTTTACCAGGACACATGTGATAAATTATGACAAATTGAATGGTTTAATGACAAATATTTAGAGGTTGAACATCTGAGATCAAGGTGTCGCAGAGCTCTGCTCTGTCTCTGGAAGTTCCACGGACAGTCTGTTCCATGCCTTTCTCCTAGCTTCTGGAATGCTGCAGTCCTTGGCATGCCTGGGCTTACTGATCAAACGCTCCAGTCTCTGCCTCCACCATCACACGCGCTTTTCCTCTGTGTCTTTGTGTCTATGCATCTTCTCCTTTTTTTATGAAGACGTTAGTCATGTTGAACTAGGACTCACTCAACAACCTCATTGTGATTACATCTACAAAGGTGTATTTTCAAATAGGTAACATTTCCAGGTACTGAGATCGGGACTTATCTTTTGAGAGAACATTTTAACCAACACCACTACTACTTTATTTTTGCATAAATTTTTTCCTAAAATAACATATATCTGGACCTTGTTTTTGAAAGCAATATGAAAGTCTTTGTTTTTTACAGGGAAATTTAATTATTTTATGTATGTTTTACTCACTAGCCTGTTAGATTAATTTATATTTTGTCCATCCTAACTCCAAGGATTTAAATTATCGTTTCCTCTCTTCTTCCTTTCCTTATGCTCATTTAATGAATTTGCTTTTAATTCTATCTCTTCCCTCACAACAGTCTTAATTTGGATATTCTACTACATCCCTCTTTTTCATTAGTGATTATAATAATATATTAAACTTGTATAGATAAAGCTACTTTATCTATTTTTCTCCTAAAATTAAACAATACCTATTCTAACTTGCATTGACGACATGGATTTTAGAAAGACTGAACTTCATCACTCCCAAACCACATATGTTCCCTGCCCCTTGAACCTTCCTCCCAACCCCCACCACGTCCCGCCCCTCTAGGTTGTCACAGAGCGCCTGGTTGAACTCCTGTGTTGGACAACTTCCCAGGAGCTATCTGTTTTACATATGGTAATGTATATTTTTCAGTACTGCTCCCTCAATTCCTCCCATCCTCTCCAGCCCCCACTGTGTTCACAAGTCTGTTCTTTATGTTGCATCTTTATTCCTGCCCTGCAAATAGGTTCCTCAGTACCATTTTCCTAGATTTCATACATATGCATTAAATGTTTGATATTTGTTTTTCTCTTTCTGACTCACTTCACTCTGTATAACAGGCACTAGGCTCATCCACCTCACTAGAACAGACTCAAATTCACTCCTTTTTATGGCTGAGTAATATTCCATTCTATGTATGTACCATGACTTTATCCATTCATCTGGCAACAGACATCTGGTTGTTTCTGTGTCCTAGCTATTGTGAATAGTGCTGCAGTGAACGCAAGGGTACATGTGTCTTTTTGAATTATGGTTTTCTCAGAGTAAATAGGGCTTCCTAGGTAGCTCAGCTGGTAAAAAATCCACCTACATGCAGGAGTCTCTGGTTTTTTTCCTGGGTTGGGAAGTTCCCCTGGAGATGATGGAACAAGCTACCCACTCCAGTATTCTTGGGCTTTCCTGGTGGCTTAGATGGTAAAGGATCCGCCTGTAATGTGGGAGACCTGGGTTGAATCCCTGAGTTGGGAAGATCCCCTGGAGGAGGGCCTGACAACTCATTCCCATATTCTTGCCTGGAGAATTCTCAGGGACTGAGAAGCTTGGCGGACTACAGTCCATGGGGTCCCAAAGAGTCAGACATGACTAAAGATAGCAAAGTGTATATGTGGTAATAGTGGGATTGCTGGGTCATGTTGTGGTTTTATTTCTAGTTTTTTAAGGAATCGCTATACTGTTCCCTATAGTGGTTGTATCAATTTATGTTCCCACCAACAGTGTAAGAGGGTTC